ACAATTTGGCTTCTCCTGTGATGGTCTAGTTTTTCTCAACAGTTTTTTTTTTTTTTTTTTTTGGCTGCATTGGGTCTTAGTTGTGGTGTGCATGCTTCTCATTGTGGTGGCTTCTCTTTGTTGTGGAGCATGGGTTCTAGGCAAGCAGGCTTCAGTAGTTGTGGCACGTGGGCTCTCAGTAGTTGTGGCCCACGACCTTAGTTGCTCCATCGCATGTGGGATCTTCCTGGACTGGGGCTTGAACCCATGTCCTCTATATTGGCAGGTGGATTCTTAACCACTGCACCACCAGGGGAGTCCCTCTCAACAGTTCTGAAGACTGTTATTTATTTCCAGTAAACGACAGCTTTTCCAGTTACAGTCTGCTGACTTTGTGTCAGTTACTTCTCTTTCATTTCCTCATCTGTAAAATGGGGAAAATACTGCTTTCTAGGACTGTGGGGAGGATTACATGAGGATAAGCATTAAGCACTGGCCCAGAATAGGTGCTCAGTGAACACTAGTTCCCTTCGTTTCCCTGGTGGATTGTCTCCATCACTCCAAGGCTTTTTCTAGTCTGTGACCACGTGACTTCTAGACTCTGCTACAGAAGTTCATGTGGTTCTTGAGCCAGAACATATATGGGATAGTCCAGATTGAGATGTTATAATTGTAAAATACCAGATTTCAAACACTTGGTTCAAAAAAATTTTTTAAGTAAAATCTCATCACTTTTTTGTATTGCTTACATGTTGAAATAGTAATATTTAAATATTTACAATGATTTTCACCTCTTTTTTTTTTTTTTACTTTAATGTGGTCACTAGACAATTTTAAATTACACGTATGACTCCTGTTCTATCCCTATTGGACTTTGGACTATGCTGGTTTAGGCCTGGTAGCGGTATTGTATACAGAAGAAAAATAGTCCAGTAAATCAAGGAGATATGGCAAGGTATAAATGCTGGACAGTGTCTTTAATTTCTAGAATCTTTGTTTAAAAACATCCAAGTTTGGGGACTTCCCTGGTGGTGCAGTAGTTAAGAATCCGCCTGCCAATGCATGGGACACGGGTTCAAGCCCTGGTCCAGGAAGATCCCACATGCCGCGGACCAACTAAGCCCATGTGCAACAACTACTGAGCCTGTGCTCTAGAGCCTGTGAGCCACAACTACTGAAGCCCGTGTGCCACAATTACTGAAGCCCGTGCGCCTAGAGCCCATGCTCCGCAACAAGAGAAGCCACCACAATGAGAAGCCTGTGCATTGCAACAAAGAGTAGCCCGCTCCGCAACTAGAGAAAAGCCCATGTGTAGCAACGAAGATCCAACGCAGCCAAAAATAAATAAATAAAATAAATTTATTTAAAAAAAAGGAAAATAAGGGCTTCCCTGGTGGCGCAGTGGTTGAGAGTCCGCCTGCCGATGCAGGGGACACAGGTTCGTGCCCCGGTCCGGGAAGATCCCACATGCCGCGGAGCGGCTGGGCCCGTGAGCCATGGCCGCTGAGCCTGCGCGTCCGGAGCCTGTGCTCCGCAACGGGAGAGGCCACAACAGTGAGAGGCCCGTGTACCGCCAAAAAAAAAAAGGAAAATAAATTAAAAAAATAAAAACATCCAAGTTTTGTGCTCTTTAAGGAAACTTATTGATGCATTGTTGGGATGAGTTTTCTGCAGTCTTCAAAAACTACTGCAAACATTCCTTACCAGTGTTGTCACTTCAAAAAACTATTAAAAAGGCTAACATCCTCATTGGTGACAAGCATTCAACCTTTGAGCCTTTAAAAAACGTCAGGAGTCAATTTGAATTCAAGTTTAGTGAACTAATAAGAATAATCAAGTTGGAAAACACTTTGTATAAATAGCCCGACATTTTTCTCATCGTTCATAACAGACTCAAGGCAATCCTAAAGGAATCTTGAAAAATGTTTTTATCCATGGTAACAGTATGGGTAGAATAAACATTAACTTCCCAGGAGCATGTATTATAAACTTTATAAGGCTTTATGTTTTGTATTTTAAATTATTATAGTTATATTTGAATATATGCAATAGGAAGTATGGGTTGTACAAAAGATAATAGTAAGTGCTGTTTGTCTCACAGGTGGGTTGCGGGGAAGAGAACTCTATTATAGATAGAAAAGGAAAACGGGACAAACTGTGTTCTCGATCAATTGACTGTTTCTTCCTCTTTCTCATAGATGCTCGTTGCCAACATTGACTTGGGTCCTACTATTTTGGACATCGCTGGCTACAATCTGAATAAGACACAGATGGACGGGATGTCTTTCTTGCCCATTTTGGTGAGTATAAAGCCCTAAATCAGGCCTGAGCCAAGATTCTGAAATAAATTCCAGGTTATATAAGTACACTTAAAATTTAAATCTTAAAGCTGTTAAATTAGGGGAGCAGAGGATAGAATTTTTCTCTTATCTGTAGTGGGAAGGAGTTTTCTTAAAAAAAGACGGGACACACATGAACAGAGTTCTGTATCCTCCCTTTTTCCCTTGTCCCCCAAAAGCCCCATCATAAAATTAAAACAGGTGACAAATTGGGAAAATATTTGCAACATACATGAAAAAGGGTGATTAGTTTTAATAGATAAGTTCTTAAAAGCAAAGATTAATGTCCCAGTATAAAAATGGGCAAAAGAAGTGAATAGTCAACTCCCAGAGGAATTAAAAATGGCCAAAGTCAGTGCAAAAAAATTGCTTCAATGCTGATCAAAGAAATGCTTAACTAAAGGAGGCCTCTATTGCCTGTAGAACTGGCAAAGATCAAAAAGATTAATAAGCCTGTATTTAGAGAAGTTTGAGAAAATGAAAGCTACTCAGACTCTGTTCATTGAAGTGTAATCAGTATAAGCTATCAGTAGGCTAATTTAACAAGACCCATCACTGCAAAATACACGTCAAGCAGTCCCATCTGAGAATTTATTTTAAGAAAACAAAATTCATTCAAGAAATATTTGAGGGGGCTTCCCTGGTGGCGCAGTGGTTAAGAATCCGCCTGCCAGTGCAGGGGACACGGGTTCAAGCCCTAGTCCAGGAAGATCCCACATGCCATGGAGCAACTAAGCCCATGCGGCACAGCTACTGAGCCTGCACTCTAGAGCCCGTGAGCCACAACTACTGAGCCCATGTGCCTAGAGCCCATGCTCTGCAGCAAGAGAAGCCAATGCAATGAGAAACCCGTGCACCACAACGAAGAGTAGCCCTTGCTTGCTGCAACTAGAGAAAGCCTGTGCGCGGCAACGAAGACCCAACGCAGCCAAAAATAAATAAGTAAAAAGAAATTTTAAAAAAGGAAATATTTGAGTACCTAGTGCCTAGCACTGCCCAGAGCTAAGTATAAAAACTACATGTACTAATAGAAGACTATTGAAAACCTAAATATACAGTAGGGAATTGGTCAAATTGTGGCACAATTAAACAATAGACTATTAAACCAACACTAAATGATGTAGGTATGTATATACGTTGACTTGGAAAGATGCCCACCATATACTATAGGGAGAAAAAGTTTCAAAACAGCATCTTTCTCATTAAATATGTATGTAAATATGTTTAAGCATAGAGAAGTTTGAAGAATCAATACTCATTATAGATGACTCTTGCTCATTGATTTGTCTGAGTCTATCACAATTTATTATTAGGTAATATATGATTCATACAAGAGAATACCCATAACTCACATAAGTTATGAAACACAAGGAATACCCATGAACCCATCACCCCATTTAAGAACTGAAATATTCCCCATACTGATGCATCTTCCTATGGGCTCCTCCCCATTCCACCCCTTACCTGCCCATACAAATGAGCACTTTTCTGAATTTTATGGTTGTTAATCTCTGGCTTTTATTTTTTAGTAATTATCATGGATGTGTCCCTAAACAACATACCTATCTTGGGGGGAAAAATACCTGTCTTGTTTTGTACTGTAAAAGTGATACTCTACCAGTTGTAATGAGGACTTTTTTCAATTCATCGTTTGTAAATTGATCCATATTGTTCACAGATGCCTAATATTCCATTGTAAGAAGGAATGCATCACTACTTAATCATGTTTTCTTGTCAGTGTACATTTGTGGTGTTCCCAGTTTTGTTAGGAACATTGCTTCTATAGCATTCTCATACATGTTTCCCAGTGAGCATGTGTATATGCACCAAGGTTACAGGAACCTCACATGTTCATTCCTACAAATATTACCAAGTTATTGTACAAAATCGTCATCAGTTTACATTCCCACCAGTAACTTATGAGAATTCCCTTTGCTCTATATGAAACTGTCCGACTACTTAATTTTTGCCATTCTAGGGGGTGAAAAAGATCAAAATTATATTTGGTCCTACTGTGCATTTCTTTATAAATGAAATGAATCATTTTTTTAACAGCTTAATTCATTTACTATACAATTCAGAAGTTTAAAGTTTACAGTTATTCAGAGTTGTACAGCCACACCATAATCTTAATTTTAGAACATTTTCATCACCCCAAAAAGAAACCCCCAAATACATTAGCAGTCACTCCCCCATTGCTCCCTCCCCCAGCACCAGGCAGGCACTAATCTACTTTCTGCCTCTATAGATTTGTCTACTGTGGACATTTTCTAGAAATAGAATCATACAGTATGTGGTCTCTTGTGATTGGCTGAAAAGGGTCATCCCCATTGTAACGTGTATCAGTACTTTTTTTTTTTTTTAACATCTTTATTGGGGTATAATTGCTTTACAATGGTGTGTTAGTTTCTGCTTTATAACAGAGTGAATCAGTTATACATATACATATGTTCCCATATCTCTTCCCTCTTTGTCTCCCTCCCTCCCACCCTCCCTATCCCACCCCTCCAGCCTAGTAGTGGGATTGCTGGGTCATATGGTAGTTCTATTTGTAGTTTTTTAAGGAACCTCCATACTGTTCTCCATAGTGGCTGAACCAATTCACATTCCCACCAGCAGTGCAAGAGTGTTCCCTTTTCTCCACACCCTCTCCAGCATTTATTGTTTCTAGATTTTTTGATGATGGCCATTCTGACTGGTGTGAGATGATATCTCATTGTAGTTTTGATTTGCATTTCTCTAATGATTAATGATGTTGAGCATTCTTTCATGTGTTTGTTGGCAGTCTGTATATCTTCTTTGGAGAAATGTCTATTTAGGTCTTCTGCCCATTTTTGGATTGGGTTGTTTATTTTTTTGTTATTGAGCTGCATGAGCTGCCTGTAAATTTTAGAGATTAATCCTTTGTCAGTTGATTCATTTGCAAATATTTTCTCCCATTCTGAGGGCTGTCTTTTGGTCTTGTTTATGGTTTCCTTTGCTGTGCAAAAGCTTTGAAGTTTCATTAGGTCCCATTTGTTTATTTTTGTTTTTATCTCCATTACTCTAGGAGATGGGTCAAGAAGGATCTTGCTGTGATTTATGTCATAGAGTGTTCTGCCTATGTTTTCCTCTAAGAGTTTGATAGTTTCTGGCCTTACATTTAGGTCTTTAATCCATTTTGAGCTTATTTTTGTGTATGGTGTTAGGGAGTGATCTAATCTCATACTTTTACATGTACCTGTCCAGTTTTCCCAGCACCACTTATTGAAGAGGCTGTCCTTTCTCCACTGTATATTCCTGCCACCTTTATCAAAGATAAGGTGACCATATGTGCATGGGTTTATCTCTGGGCTTTCTATCCTATTCCATTGATCTATCTTTCTGTTTTTGTGCCAGTACCATACTGTCTTGATTACTGTAGCTTTGTAGTATAGTCTGAAGTCAGGCAGCCTGATTCCTCCAGCTCCATTTTTTGTTCTCAAGATTGCTTTGGCTATTCGGGGTCTTTTGTGTTTCCATACAAATTGTGAAATTTTTTGTTCTAGTTCTGTGAAAAATGCCAGTGGTAGTTTGATAGGGATTGCATTGAATCTATAGATTGCTTTGGGTAGTAGAGTCATTTTCACAATGTTGATTCTTCCAATCCAAGAACATGGTATATCTCTCCATCTGTTTGTATCATCTTTAATTTCTTTCATCAGTGTCTTATAATTTTCTGCATACAGGTCTTTTGTCTCCTTAGGTAGGTTTATTCCTAGATATTTTATTCTTTTTGTTGCAATGGTAAATGGGAGTGTTTTCTTGATTTCACTTTCAGATTTTTTATCATTAGTATATAGGAATGCCAGAGATTTCTGTGCATTAATTTTGTATCCTGCTACTTTACCAAATTCATTGATTAGCTCTAGTAGTTTTCTGGTAGCATCTTTAGGATTCTCTATGTATAGTATCATGTCATCTGCAAACAGTGACAGCTTTACTTCTTCTTTTCCGATTTGGATTCCTTTTATTTCCTTTTCTTCTCTGATTGCTGTGGCTAAAACTTCCAAAACTATGTTGAATAAGAGTGGTGAGAGTGGGCAACCTTGTCTTGTTCCTGACCTTAGTGGAAATGCTTTCAGTTTAGTACTTTTCTTTTAATTACTGAAAAATATCCCATTGTGTGGATGTGTCACATTTATTTATCCACCCATCAGTTGACAGACATTTGGGTTGTTTCCCGTTTTTGACTATTATGAATAATACTGCTGTGAACATTTGTGTATAAATTTGGGGGCAACTAATGTTTTCCATTCTCCTGAGTGTATCCCTAAGAGTAGGATTGCTAGGTCACGTGGTGATTTTATGTTTAACCTTTTGAGGAACTGCCAGGCTTGTTTGTAAAGTGATTGCACCGTTTTATATATTCCCACCAGCATTGTAAAAGGGTTCCAGTTTCTCCACGTCCTTGCCAGCACTTGCTGTTACCAGTCTTTCTATTATGTCTTAGTGGGTGTGAGTGGTACTCATTGTGGTTCTGATTTACATTTCCCTAATGACTAATCATGTTGAATATCTTGTCATATGTTTATTGGACATTTGTATGTCTTCTTTGGAGACAGGTCTATTCAGATCCTTTACCCATTTTTTTAAATTGGGTTTTTGATCAGTGAATCATCTTTCATTATGCCTTTTGTGTTTCTTCCTTTGTGAAATGCCTCTTTTTGCCCATTATATTCTTGCTGTTTGTTGTCTTTTCC